AGGGGGGACATGATAGCAGTGTTCCAATATCTCAGGGGCTGCCCCAAAGAAGAGGGAGTCAAGCTATTCTCCAAAGCGCCTGAAGGCAGGACAAGAAGCAACGGGTGGAAACTAACCAAGGAGAGAAGCAACCTAGAACTAAGGAGAAACTTCCTGACAGTTAGAACAATTAACCAGTGGAACAACCTGCCTCCAGAAGTGGTGAATGCTTCACCATTGGACGTTTTTAAGAAGAGACTGGACAGCCATTTGTCTGAAATGGTATAGGGTTTCCTGCCTGAGCAGGGGGTTGGATTAGATGACCTCCAAGGTTCCTTCCAACTTTATTATTATTATTATTATTATTATTATTATTATTATTATTATTATTATTATTATTATTATTATTATTATTATTATCCCTGCAAGACTTTTGGTCAGTCATTTTCTCTCACTAGTACAACACACGACAGGTAGTCCTCACTTAGTGACCACAATTGGGATTGGCCACTGTGTTAAGACATCACGTGACTGCCACTTAAGATTTTGCTTCTGCCTCCTCTATTAACTTTGCTTATTGCAAAACAGTTGTGAAGCATGCAGTGATCATGTGACTGTGATGGTCGTAAATGTGAGGACTGATTGCAAAGCTTTTTTTTTTTTTACGTCATCGTAGCTTTGGATGGTCAGTGAACGAGGCAGTGAAAATAATAGAATAACAGTTGGAAGGGACTTTGGAGGTCTTCTAGTCCAACCCCCTGCTCAAGCAAGAAACCCTATATTATTTCAGAGAGATGGTTGTCTAGTCTCTTCTTAAAAACCTCCAGTGTCTGGAGTTGAGAAAGGCTGAAGTTTAGGTGCCATTACAGATGGAGTACCTCACATCACTGCATGCTTTCAGAATTCAGTGCAATGGATTTATACCGTTTATTTGCCTATTTTATTTATTTGTTTTTATTTATACCCCACCTTCATTATTTTTTTACAAAAAACTCAAGGTGGCACATATACCCACATCGTCCGCCTCCTATTTTCCCCACCACAACAACCCTGTGAGTGGGTTGGGCTGAGGGAGAGGGACTGGCCCAAGGTCACCCAGTTGGCTTTCATAGCTAAGGCGGGACTAGAACTCAGGGTCTTCTGCTTTCTAACCTAATGCCTTAACTAGACCAATCTGGCTCTAGACCAAGTTATTTATTTAGCACCAGCTGTACCCGGCCACGCGTTGCTGTGGCTCAGTCGTGTGTTGCTTTTATGTCCAACAGATGGCGTGTGTTGCTTTTACGTCCAACAGATGGCGCTGTTTTTCAAAAAAAACATGTTTTAACCTGTCACAGGTGTGACATCTATATAATATAGGTATATAAAAACACGCGCGTATTCGAATGCAACGTTGTGTCAAAATTTCAAAGCAATCGATGAAGAACTTTCGGAGATTTAAGATTTTGAACAAACGAACATTTACATTTTTATTTATATAGAATATGTTATATTATACATGCACTAGCAATATATATGCAACTTGTCTCAGGGATCAGATGCGCCAAAGCAGGAAGCAGCAATAAGATATTAGAAGATACAACAATCTTCCTTGCATTCCCCAGTTATCATCTCTTTAGGGCATCCATGGGTGGGTTTGTGTGCATGAGTGTCAAAATTGGGAAGAAAAGGGATGGAATGTCACACACTCATTCAGAATGGGTCAAGGTTTACATTACATCTGCTGCCTCCCTGATTTTGACACACAGGTGGATGTAGCTGCATCAGTCTTATCTAGGGGTCTCCAAGCTTGGCCCTTTTATGACTTGTGGACTTCAACTCCCAGAATTCCTCAGCCAGCCTCATAAGTCATAAAAGGGCCAAGTTTGAAGACCCCTGGTCTTATCCCAAGTAAATGTTGGAGTAAGAATGAACTGCCTCCTTTAGGAAAAGAGAAAACAACCTTGTAGTTTAATCTCAACCCTGCAGAAGGATGCTTTGGAAAGACAAGCAGATACCTGGGTAGGTTGACCTTTGCCTTTTTCAGAGACTCCCCTCTATTTTTTCTTCAGTTAAGACTAAATGTACTATAGCTGCAAAATTCAGGATCTTGAAGGAGCTGTAGCTTTTCTCTTTATCAAGTTACTAGTCCTTAAGCCTCTCACTTTGGCAGCATGAAGCCCATACCTGAGTATAAGCTTGGAGATACCACATTCTTTTTCCATAAAAGTGCCCCAATTCTTCTTTTCAGCTACACGCAAGAAGTTGTTTGAACTTGCCAGAGCTTTCTCAGAAAAGACCAAAATGAGGAAGTCAAAAAGAAAACAGCTTTTGAAGCACCAAGTGTATCCTTTCCTGGTTGTATGAAGTGATCTCCTGTTGGTCTCCCAACCTGGTGGTCTTGAGGGCTCCCCCTGCTGTTCTTTCTTCATGAATGAGAACATCACTCCAGGCCTTGGTGGAGTGTTAAAGAGACTGTAATCCAAGTGTAAAGAGAGGTTTACTCTAGTGTGGACTTGCTCACATATTCCCTTGTCCTCGTGGCCATTGCTGAGAATTCTGGGAAATGAAGTCCACAAATTTACAGTATGAACAGGAGTTTGAATGCAGGATTCTTTGCCTTTCCCCAATCAGCTGACTACCTATAGTGTTCTGGTGACCTTCAACAGGTTGGCTGATTTGCAAAGTTTGCAAAGTTCCTTCTTGGCTCTCCTCCTGCTCCAAATGGGAGCAGAGATTAAAAATAGGACCTCTCTTTCTCGCCTAGTAATCTCAGAAGCAGAACAACCAGATTCGATAACAGCTTTGTCCTATATACAACATCAACTTGGTTAACTCTCAATACTCTTCCCCCCCCCCACACTATGTATTCAAAATGGACTGTGATTAATATAGGTTTTTGGTGTCATATTTGTACAACTTGGTATTTTTGATGTTGCTGTTGTTATATTATTATTGTTATCGTTGGGATGGTGACATTGTTTGGTGGGTGGTATTCCTTCTTTTGAGAACCGGGCATCAGAATTTCATTTTAATGTGTATTGTTGTACATGCAAGTAAATGACAATAAAGATTATCCCTACGACCTATCCTATCCTATCCTATCCTATCCTATCCTAACCCTACCCTACCATACACCTTGACTGTGGACCTCCAAGAAGTGGTGTGGAGTCCAGTCTCAAACCCCAGGCAGGTTCAGATGATCTTTTTCCAAATTAGGACTGTGTCAGGATCTTGCTTAGCTTTTCTGCTTCCACCGACTCTCAATAAAAGTTCCTGTTTGAAACAATGCCTGTTTCAAGAGTTCTGCTTTCTTGGGAGTACTAGCTGAGGCAGGACCTTGCAGACTGTTTTTAAGCGGCGTTGCTCTCATTAGTTAGAAGGTTTAGGATTTCCATCTGATATATGGTTTGGATTATGTTCTCCTTAACTCCAATCCAGGATGGGGACTGCGGCCTCAACAGCAAACCTTCTTGACGATGTTGAAGGACATTCATGTGGTAAGATCAGGACCTTAATACGCACATTAGGGAGTTCAGTTGGCCCAGCTCCCTAATTGCACCCTGAGTTTTGGGACCCTGAAATTATATCTTCCACTTGCTGTGGCCCTACAAAATATAACTTCCTGCTCCAGGAGGAATATGTATAGATAGTCCTTGACTTACGACTACAGTTGAGCCCAAAATTTCCATTTCCACATAACAACTGAGACAGTTGTTATGTCTCAACTGTTAAGTGAGTTTTGGCCGTTTTATGACCTTTCTTGCCACAATTGTTATTTATTTATTTATTTATTTATTATTTGAATTTATATCCCGCCCTTCTCCTTGCGGACTCAGGGCGGCTGACAATCAATTAAAAACACCACTAACAATCACAAGTTAAAATTAATTAAAATGAAATATTTAAATTGTCTAATTAAAAAGTAATTAAAAACCCTCTAAAAAACCCCTCTTAAAAATTATCCTAGGCC